AATGCCTAAATAACACCCCCCCCCCCTGTCACGTCACACATATGTGATTGATGTTCTCATGCATCTGTTAGTTTTCGCCCTATCAACCACGCTTCGTATTCTAATATTATCGATTTTTGCTTGACATCATGGTCATAATGGCACCTCCCTAAGCGTTAACATTAACTATCTCGTTCTACGATGTCAATTACTTATTGCATTAAAAGAGAATTAAGTGTAGCGAAAGTAAAATCATATGCCCACAAATAATTTGAATAATAGAGTATTCCGCCAAGTAGCTATATCATTATTAATATTTCATTATAAATTCAGCATATTTACCTATCGGACGATGAGACTCGGAATGTTTTTGGAACACTTGAAAAAAGTTCAAAATTGGCAATTTCAATATTGAGAACACGAATCGATTCACATAGTTCAATAACAAACCTACACAACAACAAACTTTCGATATTTCGAGAAAGAAAAACATTTCTATTTTCTTACCATATTTTGGCAATACATGGATTAAGCATATATTCATCAGGTGATGACGATAAAATAGATGGAACATTTTGTGCTTCGGCATTATGCGCAAGAATCTTTGCGCCACATGATCCACTAGCAAAATTTTTTCTTAATTTGCCTTTTTTTGATGGTATTTGTGGATTAGTTGTCGGCGATGAATTTCCTTTTGTTGAGCTTGCTAGTGTTGGTTCAGATAGTACATTACTATGACTAGCAACTTCGTCTTTTTCTTTTTTTTTTAAATCGAAATTATTGTAGATTTATTTTATTCGCAAATTAAACTAACTTAATAAATCAGCTTGAAGTTGTTGTTGTTTCCATTCTTCAAAAGAATTAATACTTGATCGATTACTTTTCGTTGGAGACGTTTGTTGTTGATCATCATTCGTTTGATTATCTACAAGTGGACTAAACACAGAAAAATAGTGAGAATTGATTTCATTTAATTAATAACACACGTAGTTATGGGTCGAGGTATTTCATCCGTGATATCAGATTTAGTTTCGATTGATCTATGAAAAATAACAAATTCATATGTTGACGACAACAATATTATTATTATTCTTACATCGTCGCCGCTACGTCATTTAATACGATGTCAGATGATTTTGTTTCTAAATTCTAACAAAATAATAAAAATCGATATTATTGGTTTTACATTATTATTAAATATTTACTAAGTCTGATGAGACTTGACCATTTGACTGTAAAATATGTGGCTCAATAGCACCAGTCTGATTGTTCTCATCGGTCTAATCGAAATTGAAATAATTCTTTACAAGAAAAAAAAGAAAAAATGTTACTTGATTGAGATTTTCACCAACAAGCTCAGTAGAAATAATAGATGGAATTTGAATACATAAGAACAAACTTATGGTACATATTGCTCTAAATAGAACTGGGTAATAAAAATATAATTGAATATTTTCTTATAACTTACAAAACGCTTGATTCAATCGATCGAATGCACACAATCATTCAAGATAAAACGAGAATAGATATGAATGGTGGGAGATAATCAGGACGGAATTTATCTGAAATAGACATGATCCAAATCAATAATGATCATAGGACTGTCCTACACAACAAATTCTTTTTTTTTCTTTTCGTGAAACTTTAACAAATAACAAAAAAAACAACACACAAAGTTTGGAACATTTTTTCTATTGTTCATTAATCAGTTTGACCACGGAAAGGTTCAAGTTTATTGATCTTTTCAATAATTTCATCGTATAATTCTTTGTATTCCGGATGCGGACGAATCATTAACAAACAACATGTTCGATTAGCACGAATTATACTTCCTAAATCTTCTTTTGATGGTACAAATACATACGGAATATTTGCTTCTTCTAAAAATTAAAACTTTTTTATTCTTAAGATAAATAACAATGGATCATTACCACAAACAACAGGCATATGACTGTAAATATCAATGGGTGATACATTGCCAGCAAATACTACAAGACCTCGTTCGCCACGGCGAATATATTTTTGTGTTTCACGTAAACCTAAACGGATATAATTTTTTTGTTTAGCCGCTTGTTTAACACATTTGAATAGTTTTTTTGCCAATTTTTTCGGTGCAATAGGCGATGCCATTGCATTCATATATTTAAATTTATCTTCATAACTTGGACCAGAATTTTCAGTATCGTGTGATCCATTTTCGCCGGCAATAGCTATACTTGTATCCATAGCATCTTCATCTTGACTGACATTATTATTTTTTTTATCTTTTGCCATGGCTTTTTCTTTTCCAGTAAATCCTATTCTAGACTTATCGTTTGAAATAACGGCTGTAAATGAATACAAAAAATCCCGTGAATGGATATGACTCATCTTAAAACATGAATTCGATTGGATAATACAGTTGTCCGAAGAGGAGCATTAGCGCCACTCGTTGTTTACTATTTGTGGATAATATATACATATATATCTTGAGGCGATTGTTTGTTTTTTCTCTTATTTCGATCAATAGAATAAAATGCCCGGTATGAAGAAAAAACAACAACGAAAACGAAACTCTCGTACAAGTAAAACAGTGGAAAAACAATTATCACGAAAATCGAACTACCGTTCGTCGAATATAGTAACGAAAAATTTTGAAATATTTGTAACGGATTTTCTTATCGACCCATGTGGCTTACCAGTTGAATTAAGAGATTGCGCTTTAGTTGATGGCACAGCATCATTAGAGGACGTATCAGGTTTAATTGAAAAAGTTTCATTAAAAAATGATAGAATTTAACTGCTGATTTAGATAATTGTTTATCGAATGATTATCAAGTTCTTAAAAAGATCTTTGGTAATAATGAAGAAATTATGAAAAACTCAGTTTCCTTAGTTGTTGAGGGTAAAATTTATGTTACTTGAATCTATACTTAAAATTTATTTTTTTTTTATGTTAAAGATTCATCAAAAAAAGCAAATGACAGCGAACATATAGCAAATATTTGACAAAGCTGTAAATATTCATAGAAGAGAACAAATTTATTCAATTATTGTGCTAAAAGCTCAGAATATTCTATTTTGGTGAATAAGTGTTCCATTTTATTGCAGTTATTTTTGTCATTCATACCTGTATACATTCACATTTATTCAGAGAAGCGGTTACTATTTTTGTTTGTTTTTCAGTATGTATAAATAATTAGAACAGAAGTGCCATTTATTATTAACAATCGCAGTTTACGATTGAGAATGATCTGTTCTTACTTGAAATAGAAATATGTGACGACTGAAAGATTTATTTACATGTCATAGAAATTCAACTTGTACGTTCTTTTTCTTTCTCTTTGTCTTTATCATTAAATACAATTGTGAAAACTTGTGTATGTTTAAAATAAAATTATTATGGTTTATAGATATTTAGGAATTTGTCGAAGAAATAAATATATACATAGAAACATAGGAGGTCATTAATATATCTGAGAAATTTTCATATTTCGATTTATACGAAAAAGAGGAGGAGGAATATTAGGAAGATTTCAGAAGTCTTGATATTTACTAGGTATGTTTATTTATTTTTTGCTATAAATTTAGCGCTTATTAGAATTCATGACAAGGGTAATTTGTTATTTACCTGTACAACCGTTCAAATTTCAAAATTAGTTGTTGATTTCTTTTTTTTTTGATGAATCAGAAATCTAGCCCTTTTCTTTTCGCTCGTTACTGGTCAGCATATTAGTGTGGCATTATCAAAAGAGACCTGTACAACGTTGAGTGTTTGTGACTGCTTCGCAACTGAAATTTGTGTACTAATTGATATAAGACACTTCATCACTTAGTAGTCCTGTTTTCCCTTTCAGTTATTTGGATCATTTTGCTGTCGACTAGTGAACCAAGAATAGATGAATTCATTGAATATAAATTTGGTTTCTGCTTCGAAAATTGTTCTGGCGTGACAAAGAAAATCAAGTACGATGCTACTATTAATTCTTTCGTTGAATTTGTAAAAACATTTTCTAATAGAATTCTGATTTCTGAATACTATACAACAGATTTTTACAAACAACTAAAAGTAGGCATCTGGAAGTAAAATAATCTGACATTTCTTTGATGTTGACAATAAATATATGCAATTTACATGATATTGATAGTTGTTTTAGTTTGCTTCTTTGTCAGATATTTAGATATATTCCAAATGAAACCGACATACTGTTGGCCATGATTTTATCTTTGCAGATATCTAGGTAGCTCATTCCTACAACTGGATCCAATCGGATCGGAATCCGATAACATATCCGATCGTATTCTACTCTGGGATCCGATACACCAAAAAAAGTCTACTATAGTCAACCTCTAAAAAGCTTTTTCGCAATAAATAGAGTTTTGATAATTTTATTAAATTCCCCCGTCGGATCCGTCAATAATTCCGAAACCCAGAATCCAATTGAATTTCCTCAGTTAGTAGGATGTTATAGGATCCGATAGATTTCGTCGTCGGATTAGTCGACATGGGTAGCAGTTATTTCTCTTCATTTTTCTTCCAGAATTCAACATATCTAGTGACTAAATGGAGAAATCGATTACTACCACGAACAGCAGATTTGCACATTCACAGTGAAATTATTAGTATGGTTCATATAACAGATATAGTTAAAAATAGTATATACATGAAGCTTAAGTGGAAAAATCAACACCGATAACTTAACATGAATAAACGGCTATAGCATGAAAACTATTTTTCAAAATAAGAGAACACTATTTTACTTCTTACGTGCCAATTTTGACTCGTAAACTTGAATAAAATTGCATGACTCTTTAACTCTAACAGACGCTTAAAACACATATAATTTTTAGATAGTCTGTATTTACAAATGTCCTTCAATAACAAGATTTATGCGATTGTATCTCGCAGCCTTGCACCTTAGTAGAGGACTTCTTGAAGTACTCAACTTTAGCGAATCACCGCAAAATTGATACGCCAAAGAAAACTTATTTACGCTGGTTGACCCTAGTTATATAAATGTCTAAGCACTTGATATCAATGATTGTAATCTCCATATAATATCTAATTATATATTATTCTATTGCTTCCGTGGGTTGCATTTCAATCTTACATTTTTTTGATATAGGACTAGATATGGTATGATGTATAATGGTTATTGATTGTCTCTAGCGGGCATGCGGCTACACCATTTAGGCCTAATAAAGGAACCTAGAACGAGCGTAGATGACAGAAGAGAAACAAAACGACTATTTTATTATGAAGACAGTTTATGTATCAGTAGAAATTAATGCACAACTGTTATTATATTTATTAGTACTTATCAAAGAAAACTAATTGCTAAAAGAAGTATTGAATATTTATTTATTTAGCTGACAATCTGGGCAGTTGATATATGAGAATACAAGAGCTCTTCGCGAAGAATTTTCTACAATTGTTCACCGTTCTGTTCATGATTTTCTTCGTCGGTCTCTGAACTGGTCAATTTCACATCAAATTAAACATGGGCAAATTGAGATAATTGCAATGAAAACGAAATTGCACTTTCCTGTACATCAAAAAGCATAAACAAGATAATCGAATTTTAATTGAACGAAAATTAGTTGAAACGTATGATCCAAATATCTAGAAACATGGTGCTGATTCTTATGACATAGCAATTGCGCTCTTTTAAAGCAATTGAACACTATATTACCACCGAAAGACTTCATTGTCAATCATGATTTTGCGTGTGAAACTGGTGATGGTGAACAAAATATATCATCAACTAGAACTGATTTTCAAGGCAAAAATACTTGAGATAATATTGACTCGAATGACTTACAATTTTTAGATCGAATATTTACAAAAACCATCGGCTTGCTAGCTGTTAAGTGAGAAAAGTACACATATTTCTTCTGATCGCCTGTCTCGAGTCATGCAGACAGATGCGAATCAAATATGATAGCTAAACTTTTCTAATAATCTGAATGCTTATTCTTGATTTCAGATACTTTATTCTATGTTATTGTACTTTGGCGTACTTCGTTGTACTTTAAGGTAGTTTCAGGTATTCCTAGGTACTTTAATGTATTTGAAAGTACAAAAGAATCATGCTTTCCCGTTATAAAATGACCACTGCCATATTAGCGGTATAGCTTTGAGCAGAATATCGTCGAACAATATATCTGGATACAACGTTGATAGCAAAAGATATACAGTGAAGCGTTGAAATCAGAAAGTTACGTGTGACGAATTAACTTCTAAATGAATAAAACTTTAACCATTGTTGTCCTCATATCGTTCGATTATAAAGGTAAGATGTTACGACACTATTTACATAATAAAAAGCAAATAATTCTGTTTCTTATCATCTTCGTATATAACTTGCCTATCTGAAGTCAGTCATTATTTTTATCAAGTAATGCTAACGACAACTGTTTTAGTGCTTTTACTTTCACAATTAGCGACTATTCAAGGTCAACCAGACTATGAAACTATACCACTTCGGTTCGATTTAGCTATCGACCGACTTCGACAATATCAATATATCTCACTAGACAACGTGACTGATTTACTGCCACTGAATGAAATACCAACTTTACTGACATACATCGATGAAGTTACTCAATGTGATAGAGATTTTCAGCTTTTACTTGAAGATACTGTGAAACGTCAACTCTGGGCTATCAAAGTAATCGATGCTTGGGGAAAACCTCTACCATCTGGTTTACTCAAAGGTAATATTTACTGGACGGGCAACTACGATGAATGTGTGCAGAATTTCTATCTACCACAGAATAAATCTTTTCTTCAGCAACCAATGGATACTCAACATTGTGCGTATCATTGTCTGTCTTTTGCTCATCATCATTATATATTGACTGATATTTAGGTACCCTACTACCCGAATCATCACCTGCATCGCAGATGTCAAAAGCAGGTATCATTCTCGGCATGTGTGTTCCATCATCGTGTAGTCGATCGGGCGTTGTGAAAATTCTTCGCGATGTACTAAAACATAGTAATGTAACCGAGGATCATCTTCTTTGCTCCAATGAACAACGTAATTTATCACGAGGAGCCATTGTTACCTGTCTTGTTCTCTCCTTTCTTGGACTAATAGTCCTCATCGGTACAGTGACTGATGTAATCAATAATATTCAATTTAATTCTATGAAAAGTGGGGTAATAAATATCAATGGATATACCAATATGACAGATAGTATCGAAACGGAAAGAAAATCAATGACGCTGCTTCGTGATACTCATTTCTCATCGCAAGCATTATTGGAAACTAAATCAAAATTAGCATTTATGGCAGAGTTTTCAGCCTTACGTACCCTGCGTCGAGTATTCAATATCGAGACAAAAACGAACAACGAGGGTTCATTACCATTTTTAAACGGCGTTCGAGTGTTTGCTCTTTTCTGGATCATCATAGGACATTCGCTTGTTTTCAGTCTGAGCTTCTCTAGTAATCCACTTGATCTACTGGCTTGGACGCATAATCTGAGTTTTCAGTTGATTATCAATGCTGTTTATAGCGTTGACACATTCTTTGTTATAAGCGGTTTTTTGACAACGATTTTATTCGTTCGGCAAGTAAACAAAAAAGGAAAATTATCAGTTCGTCTTATGATTCTCTATTATATTCATCGCTATATTCGATTGACTCCAACATTTCTCCTTGTCATTCTCATCAGCATCAATTTGACGCCCTACTTCGGCCACGGGCCTATGTATCCAATACACCAAGGCTTTGAAACAGCTGGATGTCGTAATAGAACTTGGTGGACATCGATACTCTATGTTGGTAATCTTGTTCAGTCAGATGATATGTGTTTACCTATTAGCTGGTACTTGTACAATGATATGCAGTTCTATTGGGTTGCTCCACTAGCCCTCATTCCTTTTGTTATACGGCGAAAACCGATCGGCTTTATCGTGGTTACCTTCATGATTTTTCTTGGCATTGGATCAATACTAGGCATTATTCTTCATTATCCCGATTTGTCATTAAATGCCATCGAAGCCTTTGCGCCACAAGTGAGTGTGCTAAATTTCTATCGAATAACATCCGTGGGATTGATATTTTTATTCATTTATAGTCCGGCCCATCATTTTTCAAATATGTTTACATTAAACCCTGGTGTCGTATCTCAGCTTACGCCGTTGGCATACTCACTGGTTTTATAGTCACCAATACAGGTCGCACATTTCGTGTTAATATTTATTTGAAATACATAGGCACCATTTTGGCCATTTTGATCGGACTCATATGTTTATTTATCTTATATCCAGATTATCTTCATGTGCCAGGTCTCAGTCGTACATCGCTCATTATCTTTCAAACTCTATCACGTACCGGTTGGGCAATATCCATCGGTTGGCTAATTTTCCTATGCAGTACGAATCAAGGCGGGTTGGTCAATAAAATTCTTTCCTGGCCAGTTTGGACTCCATTAGCTCGTTTAAACTATTCTGCCTATCTCATACATACAATCATCATTGATATCATTGTCTTAAATCAAACGATGCCGAGTTACTTTCAACATCACATTGTTGTGAATACGTTTGTTACGCACATCTTTTTTAGCTATGTGGCAGCTATTGTCGTATATATATTTTTTGAAACACCTTTTTTTATCTTTGAGAAGAAGCTATTCAAACGAGACTAGAAAAAATAAATGAACTTGATTGACTCAAGGGGGAAAAGCGCGACTTCATCTACTTCAAAAACAATTTGAAGTACGATGGGAGTACATAGAAGTACGATGAAAGTACATGGAAGTACAAGTGAATTACAAGGGAGTACAAGCGAAGTATGGGGAAGTACAAGAGTAATACAAGGGAGTACAAGAGAAGTACAGGGAAGTATGATTGAAGTACAAGAGAAGTGCAGTGAACTATCTTGAACTATGAATTTTTTTTTTAATATGAAAGTTTATTGCTCCACATAGGGTTAACAGACACTGATACAGTTAAGAGAATATAAATAAAGACAAACAGCGATTTTCTCTTTTCTCTTGCTTATCTGTCGTCATCTCCTCTGGACGTCTGAGATATATAAATGGACAACAAAAAATAAAAGAAAAAGAAAAAAAGGAATGCATATGTCAAGTATAGATATGTGGAGATAGTTAGTAATAATCAAGATCAAGTATAACTATTGTTATCACAGTTTCGATTACGATTACAATTTGGATATTATATTATGGAGTGTGTAAATACTTATATACGAATCTTTCTAACACTGAGGAGGATCTTTTAAATATTTCATATTGCTTCTCATGTATACAGAAGAAGGTAAAAATATCCAACATCAAATATTTATATAGATAATCCATGAGGGATTTTTCTCTTGTAAGTACGAAAACTATATAGTCTTCCCACCCCCAAAGGTTATATACTATACGTAGTCCAGACGCATATATGTTCTATTTCATTTTGCTGGATTTCTGTAAAATAAAACCACGTCATAAATAGCCAGATAAAGTGGAGTAAACCAAATGCATAGAATAATTTTTTACGAATATGAATTAATTCAATGGGGATTTGTCTGAAAAGTTGTTTCAGAGTGTTATAAACATTTCTAATCTTAAGTATACGCGCTTTTATATAATTTCCCCATCCTAGCTTAACACGAATTTCTACTCCTAAGTATTTAAAATTTTGTACAAACTCAATCCGTTGAATTTGGAAAAATATTTTCGGTTGACTTGGAGATACTGCAGTATGTACCAGCATTGATTTTGTTTTTTTCACGTTCACAGGTAGTAAGTGATTTTCTGAAAAGGATAAAAGGGTATGCATTGCTATTTTAGCTTGTTTTTCTAATTCGATTATATTTTGAGATAACTTTTTTCTAATGAACCTAGAACTGAACCTTGTGGGGCACCTACATGTAGTTTTAATATTTTCGATTGTGAATCTCCATGATGTATACTCATAGTTCTTTCTTGAAGCCATTGATAAATCCATTTTATCAATGGCAATGGCATATCCAATTCAACTAAATCTGCTATCAAGGCAGGAAATCACATGTTGTCGAATGCGGAAAGAAAATCAACAAATATTAATAACGCGGGGCGATTATTCGCTGCTACAGTTAGTCGTAAGTCTTCACATATTGATAGAATACGAGATTGTAAACGTCTATTTGGTGTGAAACCTGATTGTTCATCAGTATATATCCCTTTATCTTTACACCATGCTTGTATTTGTTCATGTATACAGCGTTCAAACCACTTCCTAGATTAGGTAGAAGAGAAATTGGTCTGAGTTTATCTTCAGATGGATACATTCCATCCTTAGATAGACATATAACTTTTGCATGTTCACTAGCTTCAAATACTTTCCCTTTTGATGCGCACTTATTAAACAATACTGTGATAACTTTCATATATTCTATTGGTAAGTTTTTTAATAGAAAGGCCGAGTTTTTCATACTATCCAGTGATTTTTCGCAAAAAAGTTTAACCATTGTTTTTCAACTTGATTCAAGGTAATCAAAGGCAAAGGCATGTTAGGTAAATAACTAATTTGCTCATACGCAATAATAGACCTTAGGTGCGTTACATTATTTGGATTATGTATTGGAAACGAAAAATGTTTTTCATAGTAATTTCTAAGAATATCAACGATTTTTTTAGGGTCCTTTTTTACATCGTTTGCTACTCTGATACCTCGAAATGAGGCGGTATAAGGACGAAATGCATTGTGAACGAAACGCCAAATATTTTGTCCTTGATTTATCTTTGTTAAGTGATTTTCTCTTTTCTTTTGTAAATAACACGCTCTTTCCTCGTGATATTCTCTCTTTGCGCATAAATATGCATTCAGATGATGTATGAAACGTGCTCGACGATACATACGTCGATGTTTATTTACATTGCGTGCCAGGGATATCAAATACGCTGACCAAGGCGGTCTATATTTTCGTATAGTTATATATTCACTTGTTCTATTCCATAGCGATGCGAGGAAAGAAGAAAAGAGAGTGGAAAAAAATGTTCATCAAAATTGTAAACGCAGGCATTCCAATATTCATTAACTAACGATAAAAAGAATGTAAACAATTTTCAATTTGTTTTACGGAAGAAGCCATCTTCAGCTGCTGTGAAAGGAGATGAAAAGAGAATCGGAAAGTGATCTGATGTGCCCTCATCAATTACCTCAACTGACCAATCTGATTTATCGCGTGTAAGAGCAAAATCTATAATAGCAGAAGAACGTTTTGAAGTAGGAACAGTTGGAAAAATACCTTCCCAGCCATTTCTTTCCATCCATTCTTTTAATGCATTTCCACTAGTATTGTTTGTTTCACATGACCATAACGAGTGCTTAGCATTGAAGTCGCCAAACACGTAAAAACATTTTTTCCATTTAATTTTGAAAAATGTTCAAAAGGTGGTTGTTTGTTTGGAAGAACGTGTACAGCTCCAACCAATATTTTAGAAGATAATATGTCAATTTTAACTAAAAGAAAATTCTCAACTGTGCAAACTATTGTACTCTTAAGAGAATGATGAATTAGTATTGCAACACCTCCAAACGAGTTCGTACCTTTCTGACTTAACCAATAATAGTTTGGCAGCAAGGGTAAATTACTAATTAAAGAACCGACACCAGTTAGAATAACTATTTTCGGAAGCTATGAAGAGATTAAGATATCTAAATCAGCTTGATAGGTACTTAGACATTCGCAATTGTATAAAAGAAATAAAATATTTTCAGATAACAAATTAGAAGGACGCTGTTTTTCCCAATTCGTACATAACGTCGAGATACAAACTCTACCAGTCCATTCATCTATCATTGAATATAGTTCCTTTTTTTCTTGGGATGTTCCACTAAAACTACTGCAAAATGACAAGTCAATTGTTGCCGGTGAATATCTAAAGTCGTCTTTATACATTCGTTTTTGAAAATAATGAGTTCATTATCGATGTTGCAGCATTTCGTTGTTGATGCATTAATACTTGCAATTGTTCTTGAAATTGATTGTAGATTTGTTTCTTGTCGATTAACTTTGCTGTCATTAGCTTGAGATGTTCTTCAATTGTTAAAAATGTTTTTTGTTCCTCTTCTGTTGTAGACTTACTTCTAATTGCATTTACTATATTTCCAACCATATTATTTATGGTTTGACATGAGTCAAATAATACATCTTCAACAATATTACATACCGTTGTGATCATTTCATTTTGAGTTAATACTCGGTTTTGAATAACTGTCCAACCATGTTGAATACTCTTAAGTTGTTCCTGGAAGCGTTGTTCAATATTCTGTTGGTCTTCGATATATTTTTGTTTTAACTCTGCTAATTCTTTTACAGTTGAATTGAATATTTGTTCGGTGTTGCTTTGTCGGCAGGGTAGCTCAGGCCATACATTTGTTGAATTTATATTTAATTGAGGTGTAAATTTACGTTGCCGATGTTCAGTAGTCGGATTAATCAATTTTCGAGTATAATTACCTTTCGGACGACAGTCAGTTGGAATAAAAAATTGAACTTGAGGTGGTAAGCAATCAGGTCTTCTACGAAGTTCAGATACGATTTGACGACGAAAATCAAGAAGAGAAGGATACCGATAATCATTTGAACAATGTTTATTATTTCCACAATGTTGACATTTAATTAAACATATTTTATGATCATTGTCATCGTTTCTATCACCACCACATCTTCTGCATTTCTCATACGATAAAAGACATTGTTTTTTAATGTGTCCTGGTGCATTACATTTTGAGCATATAAGTTTTTTGGGGCCGGTAAATGCTCATCTACTTCGTATAATTGACCTTGTATACTTATCAGACCGCTATTTTGGTATTGATTCATAATCGTTTTTATCACCAAAGTTCATGCTAATGTGCCGACTGCTGAAGCGCATAGCACCCATCATATTCTCAACTGTGAAGATAGATTTTTATCGTTCCTTTAAATCTAGACGAAATTCATCAATGTCAATATCATTTTTCACAAATTTAACTACAACAGTGTTTCGAGGTGGTAGACGTTTTGGTGGATCAGGAAGAATATTAACATTATTTAATTTTTTTGGATATCTTTTTGCATCACATAAGTAAATAAACAAATCAACATCCTTAACTTCACCTAAAATACGAACACCATCCGAGTCTTGCCACCAATGATTAAAACCTATAGCTCTTTTATGATTAGGATGTTTCTGTCGAAAATAGCTTTCGATTTCCTTGAAAAATAACATAACCCCCCAGGTCGTTCCTGCCCGGCCGTAAACGGCCGTACACCAATCATTTACGTTGAAACACGGCATTCGTTTACAGTGGCCGTTTACGGTAGTCATATACGACGTTTTACGGCGTATTACGTTAATCGTAAACAATGACCGTAAACTTTCGCCTTTTACGACTACCGTGAAAATACGGCGACTGTAGATGACGGTCATATACGAAGTTTTACGAGGTATTACGTTAATCGTAAACAGTGAACGTAAACGCTCGACTTTTACAGCTACCGTGTAAATACGGTGACTGTAAACGACATTCAGAATATGCGATAACAAGGGGAAACAAACTGATTTCAATAGGCGAAATCAATCGAAATCGCATGAAATCCAACGAAATCATCGAAATCAGTAGAAATCATGGATATCATTGGAAATCATTGGAAATCATGGAAATCATCAGAAAACAAAAGGGATTATTTCAAATAGCTAAAAACCATTCGAAATCATTTCAAACGATCTGAAAGGTTTAAAGTAAATTAGCCCGATTTCACATGATTTCTTTGATTTCTTAAATTTTCTATCGGTTACCACAAAATCCGGATGATTTTTGATCATTTCTAATTATTTCTACTGAATTCTCATGATTTCTACTGATTTTGATAACTTTTTGGCGCCATTGAAAATCTTGAGAGTGTGGATGTGGGTGGATCTGGGTAAAACCGCTATTTTCCGTTAATCCACATTCGGACTCCCACACTCACAACTACGCCCTCAAGATTTATTTTCATTTTTAGTTATTCAATTCAGGGATAGATTTAAAATGCGAAATCTGAAATCAGATTTATCTTTGATTTCGTGTCGCGCAATCATTCATCTTTTTGTTTCGCTCGAGGACTTCTATATATAGGCAGATTTTTCTTCGCCTTTAGTTCTTTAGTTGAGGGATAAATTTAAAAGCCGAAATCAGATTTATCTTCGAGTTCTTGTCGTCGATTCTTGTTTGACCACTTTCCCGATTCAAGTCAAGTAACATGTCCACGATTCAGTTTGTTTTCCGGTTTTTCCTTAAATCCCGATTTATGTTCCAGCGAATTCCCACTCTCTCAGAAACCACTTGATTTTCAAGTCGAACGGTACTGTCTTTTTGACCCAGAAATGTAATCTTTCTCAAATCCAAGTGGAATCGTTTTGAGATCTTTTTGAAATCTGAATAAAATCTTTTTGAAATCTGAATAAAACCGTTTTGAAATCTGAATAAAACCTTTTTGAAATCTGAATGAAATCCATTTCAAATCCAAATAAAATCTTTTTGAAATCCAAATGAAATCTTTTTGAAATCTAAACGATATTCCTTTTCAAATCTAAACGAAATTTTATTGAAATCTGGATAAAATCTTTTTGAAATCTAAATGAAATCCATCTCATATCTGAATAAAATCTTTTTGAAATCTGAATGAAATCCATGTCAAATCCAAATAAAATCGTTTTGAAATCCAAATGAAATCTGTTTGATTTGCAGGTGAAATCATCGAGAGTAACGAATGGAAAACGGCCGTTTACTTTGATGTACGGTAGTCTTGGTAGTCGTAAACGGCTGTGTATGTTAAGATACGACGATAGTCGTTGTCGTAAACTGTCATTTCGTTCAAAATACGACCGTGTCACGGCACTGCTTTTAACGTTTACGGTAGTTGGGTTTCACCGTTTACGTCACGGTGGGTTACGGCCGTAATACGGGGCATACCAAACGGGTTATTTACGGCTCGTATACGGTCGTAACTCTGACGATTACGGCCGTTTGCGGTATCGTGCACGGCTGTTTATGGCCACTGTAACGTTCGTCCTGGGTTAACTTAATTTTTTACTAATGATGTCCTCTTGTTTATATTTAGATCATCATGGTCCGTTAATAAAATTTTGCAACCAATTTTTCATCTTAATTGACTAGCATCCTCTTGATAATCTGCTGTCAAGTATCAACATGTAAGTATTATTTACCATTTCACTTCATATTGTTTACATTCAGGAAACATTCATGAAAAACGTTTTTTCAGGTATCAATCTATTGTTATTTTATAAGTAGCTTCTTCTTGGATAGACAAGAACAAACTATTAAAACTTAAAATCTGTGCTTTTATATCTTGATGAATTACTCTCTAATCATACCAAAATACCGGAACATTAGCACGTAGGTGTCATTAAGAATTTCTTCTATCTCTTTTCTATTCAAAAACATTTCTTAAAAAGAATTCACCGTAGATCAATATGCTTTTTCATTAATAGTGTTTTTTTTATTTATTTAGATCGATACAACTAATTAAATAAGCTCCTCACAAAGATTCTTCCCCTTCATCCATCTGTATCATTTCATCGTTTCATGTCAACCACAAAGTATGTGAGTATATCGTAGCTTGAACTCATCTTTTTTATATTCAAGGCAGTGTCTGTGGATAAGATTCTTCAGATATGCATCTATTCATTTTAATAAATAACTATTTTTCAGATCAACAATAATAACTAGACAGGAATTTCATTGTCGGGCGTTTTTCTTGACCAGTTCAGTTTCCAATCATCTGGAAACGTAGAACAAGATGACAAATAAGTTAGGTTACAGTTTAGTTCATACTTTTTGTATCCAGGGGAAAGTTCTTCAGAAAATTTTCTTATTTCAATGCATTTTTTATTACTATTATTTTTTGTTTGCTTAGATGATCAGCGATATTTAGGATCGCAGTCGTGTATAATTTCTCTTTATTTTCAGATTCTGTACAGCTTGTGCTTCTCAACATATTAGTTGGTATGCGTGATTTACAATTTTAATGGACGTCGCTTCTACTGAGGAAAGTAATAACAAATGTTTTCAATATATTGTTGGTTTTTAATATCTAATCTTTTTTATTTTAGTTGATTAAAATTAATATTCAACTTTGACGCAAGAAGTGCTATTATAAGTTTGTTTATTGCAGAATTATCATATACCATTCAAGATCATGAGG